GGTTTGCTGGGGCGGGCGCTGCCTCGGTGCTCTTTGCCTTGGCGCGGGGGCCTGGTTTTTTTTTTTCTGAAAGGTACATTTGGAGCCCCAGCAACCTCTTCCAGCCTCACGGTTTTAAGTTTCAGAGGGGGTTAATCAGTCTTGCGTGTACACGTTGTTTAGCTAAGGCTATTTCGTTCACTTCTAGTCAGAAAAGCTGTTCCGAACACCGAAAATCATCTTCAACCGAAAAAAGAAATAAAGATGAGTCGGTTGACAGTCTGTCCGTGACTATGAAGAACCAAATGGCGCTTGATTTAAGATTGGTGACAGGCAGTGAACTTGTAACCGAAATGTTTGGACAAAATGGCCACATTAGTTCTGGAAACTTTAATCCAGAAGGTGCAGTAGTTAATAATTCAAGTGAAGAAGGACTGGTACCTAGTCAAGACCATTATTTACACACTGTAAGTGCAGCAGAGGCTTTGCTGGATCACTACCAGTATCCACGTAGACTTGAAATTCAAAATACAATCATGAAAGTTGAAGTCCATCCACATGGAGACAGCAGCTGTGACAATGGAGATCTTGAAAAATACAAGGAATTAAATCTTCCTGAAGAAGCTGAGCGCACATATTCACCCTGTCTGCCTTCCGACGGCATCCACTTTCTTTCTTCCATAGCGCTGCAGCACAGCAGCTGCGGCGTTCTGCCTTCAAGCATTTTCTACCCGGAAGGAACAGTCAATCAAAATGTCAGAACGATACCAGTAAGATTAAGTGAAATAGGAGTTTTTCTATATTCACAATTATTTGTAACTCAGGTGTGGGGAATTTAAACCTACATGGGAACCACGTGATGCTTAAAGTTACGTCATAAATTTTATACTGGAACAAATTTCGCAGTGAATACAGAAATCGGTTTTATATTGCTGGGAATAGCAGGCAGTGTGCACGTGTGGTGCTGACTGCGCTTTTTTTTTTGTCCATGTCATGAGGCATATCTTGCAATGGCTGCCTAGTTACTTCACTCCCCGATTTTGTTTCTGTGCTGCTTCCTTACCTTCCTAAACCGCTGTCCCTATAAAGAGGAAGCACAGCACACGTGGATAGAGAGCAAATTGTCTAGTTTGAGCAATCTAAATTCTGAGTTGAAAGTAGAAAAGAGTTGGTTTCTGTCCTTCTTCCTTTTCTCTTCATTTGGTTTGGTTTTGAAAATACAAGTGTAGATAGTGTGTGTGAGGCTATTATCCTTGTAAATGCATGAGATCTGAACCATAGCTATATGTTGAGCGGGAAAAGCAGAAATTATGTTCAAGATATGTAACAATATCCGGTAATGCTGAATAGCCTGCAGCATTTATGCGCTTAATTATATAATGAAAATGTAAATAAATCTGGTTTTCAGGGTCACTCTAAGTTAACTCTTTGTTTATACAGTTTGTTATGCAGTTTATACATTTTAAAAAAATGGATCATTTAATACATAAAATAGTTATAAATGAAACATTCTTTTCTTCAGGTGTTCACTTCATTCGTACCTCCAGTTGCAGGTGAGAATAAATATATTGGTTGTGATCAATTTAAAGGAATCCCAAACAGTACTGTACAGTTTTAAAACTTGACTGGTTGCTTAAACGGTGAGTGCCCCAAAGGACTGAGGGGATTTTTTCTTCGTCCCTCCATAAGCTTAGGGAAGGATTTCAGTAGCTGAATAAATTAATTCTGGATTTGACAAATTGCAATACAAGCCTTTTCCGATAATGTTAAGATAAATGGGAATGCTGGGAAGGAGAATAGACAGCTGTTTATTCCTGTGTGTTCATGTTCTTCAACCAGGTAATTCAGTCTTACTTCCAATTTTCCCTTCTTGTCACACCACACCTCCACTCCTTCGGGGGGCTGTGAGGAATCGTGTAGAGCATGATTAATTTTGTTTTTTAATCAAGTCAAACAATGGTTTTATTTTACTGTGCCCACTGGTTACGGAAGTGAGGTCGTCAGCAGTGCTGCTGCTGCTGCTGCTGCCCGACCGGGGAGCAGTGAGCACAGCCTGGGCACAATCCTGCTTAGGCTGAAACCGACTGCTGGAACTCATCTCATGAGGTAGTTTATCCTGAAACTAAGTGAGTTGTGCCAAGCAGGCATAATAAACCTTTGAAAGATATCCAAAAGGCCCAAACTGAAGTCTGGTTTTCCCAGCAAGTCTGTTACGTAATACTAAACATTTCCTTCACAGTAATGTAATGCTGTAGCGACATCAGAACCTCTTTTATTGATGCTGTAAAGGAGCTCTTGGCATAAAGTGCTGATCTTATGGTAAACCAAACATACTTTGTTTTACATACTAGAGTCTCCGGGTGCTGTCTATGGCTTCCCTCAGGCTGGTGCTTCTGCCTGTGAGGAATCAGTAAGTATGCATGCAGGGTTTTGTTATTATTATCAGAAGAATCTGTCCAGGTGTTGAATGTCTGCAGTGGGGTTTATTCTTTGAAAGAAGAACGCTGATTTCCTACACTGCTGTGTTGTAGAGGAAGGAAGATCTGGGCTTTTCACCTGTTTCTGTTGCCTCTAGTTGGCTCCCGCCTGCCCCCGACGTATTCTGGTTTCATTTCGGGCAGGTTAGGGAGGAGGTTTCTCCTAAGGCCACCGGAGCACAAACTGCTAGGTGGGACTCTGGCAAATCCCCTTGGGCAGCTGGTTTATTTGAGCTTTTATCACATGTGCAGCATCTGTAAAGGAACGGGGCTGAGGGTTAAAATCTGGCTGTAACATTAGCATTCCTTGCCTATGGAGAGAGGTTTTTTGCCACTTAATTGTTCTCTTAAAACATTTGGATTTTTCAAATGTGCTTTCCTAGGTATGTGCAAGACAAACTATAGAAATTCAGGTATTTCATGAAAGGGAGATTTCTGACAATTCTTGGATTTTTGTAGCCAAGTTTTTCAGGGTTATCTGTTCCATGTTTTAAAGTGTGTACTGAGAGAGGCAAGGCTTCCTCTGGCAGGGAGGCGTTCGGGCAGATGGCACTGAGAGGGGTAACGGATCTGCAGGAGAGGTGGTTTGCAACAAACGCGAGTGGCACCTCGTCCACAGTGGAATGCTGTGACACACAGCAGTTATCACAGCAATAAAAATTCATCTTGGAACAACCCGATTTATAGGCACCACTGAGTGGGCAGGCCAGTCTCAGATCACTGCTTCTTACTTAGACTGAATCCCAATGGTCCCCAGTCAATTTGTTTAATTCAGGGTTAATTCTTGGTTTGCATAATTTGCTGCATCTATTGCCTGACTCCTCCAAGTGAGTTTAGAAATCGGTTGTGTGCTATGGTGTTGGAGACACCAAATGCCGTTTTTACTGTCAAGTATGTTACTGTTCCTTGTTATTTTTCAGAAATATTTTTACTTGAAATGCAAGCAAAAATCATTTTGCCGTTGACACGTAAATTAACTATTCTCAGTATTGCGTTGAATGACGCAGATCCATTTTTTAATTTACTGTATTTGGTTGCAGTTTAATGTAGATTTTAAAGCACATCTGGTGAAGTTCAAAACTTTTTCTTTCAGGCTGAGGTGAGAGAGGCTGTTAGTAATGTTAGCGAGAATCACCAAGACAGAGCAATTTTTCAGAGTTCAGATGCCGACAAGCCCGGCTGCAAGTTACTGGCATTGCACAGTGTAGCAGAGGATTCCAGATGTTCACACAGAAATGATTCCAACCCTGTAGGACTTTTATCCTGTATTTGGTAGCAAAATCATATGCTAGAGAAAATTAACTTATTTGTACCATGCTAACATCAAGAAATCCCACTTAGTAAGTGCTATATTAAGACTAGTAAGGCAGTCACTTTCTTGGACTCAACAGTCTAAATTTTATTCTGGTTATAGCGTCACTCTCTCTCTCTTTATGTATATAAAAAACGTATTATTTTCTATTTAACATCTGGTAAATAAAACCCCAGTGTGAAGATGACTTCCTCCAAAGCAATGAAGGAGCTACGGTGTTAGATCTCAATAGCTGCTTCCACAAATAAATTTCAATTAACGGTCAAAAAGCAACTATCTTAATGGATAATGGTCCATTTGGGGGATTGCAGTTAGTGATTATGAAGTCTTACAAGACAAGTGGTACTCGTATAAAAACCTACGTCTCTATATGCTTAAAATGACAGTTTGTTAGAAGAAAACTGACCATTGGTTACTCATTCCAGGTTATCTGCCAGCTGGAAGGAGGTACTCAAATACTCTGTATAAACCGTTGTGGCACACAAGAACTAAACCCCGTTCATCTAATTCCTGAATATCACAGCCAACATAGTTATCTTCAATCAGGTACAATAAAATTAAAATTCTCTCTAGCCTTTCAGGTAGCTCATCGAGGCTTGTCGTTGTGCAACTGCTCGGGTTTATGTTCTAAAGCAGCGATGGGGAAGATTGGCCAAAGTTAATGTAGCTATTGCCAGTTATTATTTTATAACTGAAAAATTGCTAGGCGAGTCAGTGTCATGAGAATGATGCAGTGGATATGTTGAATTTTTTGAAAGTTTTTGATGTACAGATTGCTTTCCATGCAGAGCACTTTTAGGGTAAGTGCTGGCATCCGTTCCCATTTGCACGGGCTTGCCACCAAGTGTCACTCTTCCTCCATAAATGCGGAGCAGCGTCGCGGGCTACACTTCTACTTTGGCCTTGGGTTTGGAATGGCTCGCTAACACGTACATAATGATGTGAGCTTGAAATGCCATCACTTTCTAAGAAAGTGGTTTCTGAGGTCCTAAAGTTCCACAGTTGAGATGGAGGAACACATTTTCATCTGAGCAGGTATTTGAGCGTAGTTTAGTTTTAACTTCAATGAACATTTCTGTACCTAAGCTTCCTCAAAAACATTAGCGTGGTGCATTATTATAGTTGTATTATGGTGGTGTATTTTGATGACAGTGTCATCAAAACAAAGCCTTTTAATGTGAGGCACGGCACAGGCACAGCTGCTGCTTCCCGGTATCAAGAGGTGCTGGGCAGGAGCGTCTCTCGCGGGCTTGCTTCAGGTAGGGAGCCTGCTCGCTTGTGTTTGTCAGAAGCTGTCAGAAGAGTAAGCCAGGCACACCCAAGTTAAAGGTCACGCTCCTTTACAAAATTCCAACTCATTTGCTGTCATAGTAGGGAAGAAAAAAGCTGAGGAGTGCGCCGGCACATGGTTTTTTAGTTTTTGTTTGTTGGAGCTTTCTCCTGGTTTACTCATTTTTACTCATGAAGTAAAAGATTTTGGTCCAGAAATTATATCTAAAGGTTTCTAGGGATTAAACTCTTCAACTTTGTAATTAAGATGGCTTTTGACTTCCTTTTTTTTTTTCTTTTTCCCTTTCTTTCTTTAGATGAGAAGGGAAGAAGTACAGGTGTAAGATTCATCTTGTAACCTTACTCTGACTGATGTTCCCTTGTTTTCTGCACAGGCTGGGGCGCTCATGTACTTACATGCAGTTCTTCACCAGGACTTGTGCAAAGACTTACAACTATGGGTTTTCTCAGGGGGTTGTAGTAATTTTTTTCCTAAGCTAAAGGCTTCTGTTCCAGATGCTCTGTCAGAACTCTGGAAATCTGTGATGTAAGAACTCAGGAGATATATATATATATATATATTTGTTTCTAAACTTTTTCTTACATTACCAAAATATTTTAAGTCTATGGCATTTGAATTTAAATATCATAGAATCACAGAGTAAAAACATCCTGTGCTCAAACTCCTAGCTGAAAAATTGGTGGCAGGTTCTTCTGTCAGAGGTGTTCTTGTACGGTCAGGTTTTTTATTCTTGCATTTTGCAAAACATTCCTGGAGTGAAAAATTCTAGGTCTCTTGTTGACACTATTTATTATAGAGTAAGTTTGAATTCAAAACTAAATTGTAGGAGAAAGTCCTAACAGAGGCCAAACAGCCTCAGGTGGTGGTTTTTGTTAACAGAAAATGTTCAGGATACCAGTTTGCCTCTGTTTAATTTGTTTATGCATAAATGAAACTTTGTACACTGTGAGTAGTTCTGTGTTCAGGTAAACATCTTCTTTGCAGATGTACACAACCCTGTAACAGCTGTGCTGGGCCAGTTGTTGCCCGTTCCTGGTGAACTGGTTCTGAATGAACAAGAGGTAAAGAAGCTTTACCCTTTGAACTTATTAATTACCATATACACTCTTCCTCCTTTTCTTAAAGTGGGTCGCTAAACTGATGGTGAGTAGTAACAGATGAATGCATTTTCTAAGGACCGTTTAGCTGGTTTGGACAGGTTAGTTCGGCACTACGTGTGCTTTCTGCATGTAAATGTTTCTGATTCCAATATTTTCTAGAAGTCATATCACAATTAAAAATACAGTTTTCCATAAGAAAAATAAATTTCTTGCAGTTTTGAAACCTTGAATTTGGTATTATACAGATTATGTTATTTCTGAGAATCATTTTAAGACTCTAGCTGGGGTGAAAGAAAGCACATTGACTTTTACCAGAAGGGGAATATTTTCTCCCAGTAGGATTTTTTGCACTCATTTCTCTTGCTTAGGGTTTAGCAGTCATTAAGTCTTTATAATTTTTGTTGTTTGGGGTTTTTCTGAAGAAAATTGAGCAGGAGACTAAAAATCTGCACAGATGTCCGGCTTGTCACGTGCTGCTTCCAAAAGAGCTGGTAGCAAAAATCCCTGCAAATTTCTAATTGTTAACTTCCGATTAGCGTGAAGTGAATGTGTAACGTCGGTACAAGAGCAGCAAATGGTTTGTGGATCATAGAATCGTAGAATCCTAGAACAGCCTAGGCTGGAAGGG